CACACTAACACCAAGTCTACCATTTGTTTCATATTTGGGATGAGACGGTTTAAGTATCATGTGCTGGCGATTTGGACTCTCACTTGGAGAGTGTGGGACTCAAATTCAAACAATGTGTAAACATTCAAATGTTAAAAGAAGCCTGTTGTTAAAACATTTTGACACACCCCACACAGTTACAAATAACTCTCATTAACATTTCCCGTGAGTTTTGATGAGAGCTTTCAGGGGTAGGAGCAACTGATGAAATACCTAACAGGTCATGTAAGCATGAAATTCTAGTGCATGGCCTGACGTCACATGCAATGGGTTTATGACAATATCTTATGGGAGGGTCTCAAAAGTAAAGAAACACATACTTTCAACTCTTCTTCAGACAATCAGTTCTTGATATAGCAGTATGTTTCGTGTCCTCGTCTCTCAAATGTAATTCTACTCATCTCAATTGTGCATTATCTACTCAAATGTACATTATCTACTCATCTCAAATGTGCATTAACTACTCATCTCAAATGTGCATTATCTACTGATATGTGCATTATCTACTCATCTCAAATGTGCATTATTTACTCATCTCAAATGGGCATTATCTACTCTTCTCAAATGGGCATTATCTATCCATCTCAAATGTGCATTATCTACTCATCTCAAATGTGCATTATCTACTCGTATGTGCATTATCTACGCATCTCAAATGTGCATTATCTACTTATATGTGCATTATCTACTCATATGTGCATTAGCTTCTCATCTCAAATGTGCATTATCTACTCATCTCAAATGTGCATTAGCTACTCGTATGTGCATTATCTACGCATCTCAAATGTGCATTATCTACTGATATGTGCATTATCTACTCATCTCAAATGTGCATTATCTACTGATATGTGCATTAGCTACCCATCTCAAATGTGCCTTATCTTCTCAAATGTGCATTATCTACTCATCACAAATGTGCATTATCTACTCGTATGTGCATTATCTACGCATCTCAAATGTGCATTATCTACTTATATGTGCATTATCTACTCATATGTGCATTAGCTACTCATCTCAAATGTGCATTATCTACGCATCTCAAATGTGCATTATCTACTGATATGTGCATTATCTACTCATCTCAAATGTGCATTATCTACTGATATGTGCATTAGCTACCATTATCTACTCATCTCAAATGTGCATTATCTTCTCAAATGTGCATTATCTACTCATCACAAATGTGCATTATCTACTCATCACAAATGTGCATTATCATTATCTACTCGTATGTGCAAACAACATCATGGTCATCGCTTTGAGGATTTCTCGTGATGTTTTCTTTGTAAAGATAACCTAATTCTGTACAAATTCAAATATCAGTCTAATCAGTCTAAGTCATTGCTTTACTAGCTATACTTATAATTGTTTTCTTCATTTATTCATTTTCAGTGCGAACCAAGAATGCGTTAAGCAGGTCAATGGTAGTAATCGTGTGCAGAGAGCCGTGACGGGTCTAAGAAAGGTCATCCTCCACAACAATGGAGTCTTTGCCTGCTTCCCGTGATGAAAGGTACTTTCTATGAAGAGCTTTAGTGAGTGAGTTCAAATTTAAAGTCCCATCGGCAATATTTCAGTCATATCGTGACTACGAAAGCTATATATATCACAATAAAATAAAACAATAACTGTATGTACCTGTCAACAAAGACAATAAAATAACTAGAATGTCACAGATTTACACATAAAACTAGAAAGTTACTTTAAAACAATATTTCTATACATGAAACATTCTAAACACACTCTGTATCAGCAGACGTCCAGATACACATTTATATGGTGTGATGACTCTGTTGTTCTCTGAAATGAACAGTAGACGCTTATAAGGAAGTAGCCACTATTCGTAGTTCGTTATACTCATTTCGACGTAATAATACAGAAATTGGCCGAAACACGTCGTTATACCCGTCATTTCATTTCGTTATAAGAGTATTCGTTGAAAATGTAATTTTGCGCTATGTACCCTTAAGGTCTGTCTCCATTGTTTACACTGACGACTTTGATGACAGCACGAGTGGCGAGTTTGTGGAGAAGGAGGAGAAGGTTAATGAAGAGATTGCAAAGAACCGCGAGAACGGACCGGGGATGCTCCCGAACAACAACGACAACACTAGCATCAGAGATAGGGGCAGAATCGAAAACATCACTCTCCATCAATAAAACGTTCGCTCGTCACGCCAAAGACCCGGGTGCGATTCCCCACATGGGCACAATATGTGAAGCCCATTTCTGGTGTTCCCCGCCGTGATATTGCTGGAGTATTGCTAAAAGCGGTGTAAAACTAAAGTCACTTTGCACAGGACCACACACTAACACCAAGTCTACCATTTGTTTCATATTTGGGATGAGACGGTTTAAGTATCATGTGCTGGCGATTTGGACTCTCACTTGGAGAGTGTGGGACTCAAATTCAAACAATGTGTAAACATTCAAATGTTAAAAGAAGCCTGTTGTTAAAACATTTTGACACACCCCACACAGTTACAAATAACTCTCATTAACATTTCCCGTGAGTTTTGATGAGAGCTTTCAGGGGTAGGAGCAACTGATGAAATACCTAACAGGTCATGTAAGCATGAAATTCTAGTGCATGGCCTGACGTCACATGCAATGGGTTTATGACAATATCTTATGGGAGGGTCTCAAAAGTAAAGAAACACTTACTTTCAACTCTTCTTCAGACAATCAGTTCTTGATATAGCAGTATGTTTCGTGTCCTCGTCTCTCAAATGTGCATTATCTACTCATCTCAATTGTGCATTATCTACTCAAATGTTCATTATCTACACATCTCAAATGTGCATTATTTACTCAAATGTACATTATCTACTCATCTCAAATGTGCATTAACTACTCATCTCAAATGTGCATTATCTACTGATATGTGCATTATCTACTCATCTCAAATGTGCATTATTTACTCATCTCAAATGTGCATTATTTACTCATCTCAAATGTGCATTATCTACTCATCTCTCAAATGTGCATTATCTACTCATCTCAAATGTGCATTATCTACTCGTATGTGCATTATCTACGCATCTCAAATGTGCATTATCTACTTATATGTGCATTATCTACTCATATGTGCATTAGCTTCTCATCTCAAATGTGCATTATCTACTCATCTCAAATGTGCATTAGCTACTCGTATGTGCATTATCTACGCATCTCAAATGTGCATTATCTACTGATATGTGCATTATCTACTCATCTCAAATGTGCATTATCTACTGATATGTGCATTAGCTACCCATCTCAAATGTGCCTTATCTTCTCAAATGTGCATTATCTACTCATCACAAATGTGCATTATCTACTCGTATGTGCATTATCTACGCATCTCAAATGTGCATTATCTACTTATATGTGCATTATCTACTCATATGTGCATTAGCTACTCATCTCAAATGTGCATTATCTACGCATCTCAAATGTGCATTATCTACTTATATGTGCATTATCTACTCATATGTGCATTAGCTACTCATCTCAAATGTGCATTATCTACGCATCTCAAATGTGCATTATCTACTGATATGTGCATTATCTACTCATCTCAAATGTGCATTATCTACTGATATGTGCATTAGCTACCCATCTCAAATGTGCCTTATCTTCTCAAATGTGCATTATCTACTCATCACAAATGTGCATTATCTACTCGTATGTGCATTATCTACGCTTCTCAAATGAGCATTATCTACTTATATGTGCATTATCTACTCATATGTGCATTAGCTACTCATCTCAAATGTGCATTATCTACGCATCTCAAATGTGCATTATCTACTTATATGTGCATTATCTACTCATATGTGCATTAGCTACTCATCTCAAATGTGCATTATCTACGCATCTCAAATGTGCATTATCTACTGATATGTGCATTATCTACTCATCTCAAATGTGCATTATCTACTGATAAGTGCATTAGGTACCCATCTCAAATGTGCCTTATCTTCTCAAATGTGCATTATCTACTCATCACAAATGTGCATTATCTACTCATCACAAATGTGCATTATCTACTCGTATGTGCAAACAACATCATGGTCATCGCTTTGAGGATTTCTCGTGATGTTTTCTTTGTAAAGATAACCTAATTCTGTACAAATTCAAATATCAGTCTAATCAGTCTAAGTCATTGCTTTACTAGCTATACTTATAATTGATTTCTTCATTTATTCATTTTCAGTGCGAACCAAGAATGCGTTAAGCAGGTCAATGGTAGTAATCGTGTGCAGAGAGCCGTGACGGGTCTAAGAAAAGGTCATCCTCCCACAACAATGGAGTCTTTGCCTGCTTCCCGTGATGAAAGGTACTTTCTATGAAGAGCTTTAGTGAGTGAGTTCAAATTTAAAGTCCCATCGGCAATATTTCAGTCATATCGTGACTACGAAAGCTATATATATCACAATAAAATAAAACAATAACTGTATGTACCTGTCAACAAAAGACAATAAAATAACTAGAATGTCACAGATTTACACATAAAACTAGAAAGTTACTTTAAAACAATATTTCTATACATGAAACATTCTAAACACACTCTGTATCAGCAGACGTCCAGATACACATTTATATGGTGTGATGACTCTGTTGTTCTCTGAAATGAACAGTAGACGCTTATAAGGAAGTGGCCACTATTCGTAGTTCGTTATAGTCATTTCGACGTAATAATACAGAAATTGGCCGAAACACGTCGTTATACCCGTCATTTCATTTCGTTATAAGAGTATTCGTTAATGAAGAGATTGCGAAGAACCGCGAGAACGGACCGAAGAACCGCGAGAACGGACCGGGGATGCTCCCGAACAACAACGACAACACTAGCATCAGAGATAGGGGCAGAATCGAAAACATCACTCTCCATCAATAAAACGTTCGCTCGTCACGCCAAAGACCCGGGTTCGATTCCCCACATGGGCACAATATGTGAAGCCCATTTCTGGTGTTCCCCGTCGTGATATTGCTAATAGCGGTGTAAAACTAAAGTCACTATGCACAGGACCACACACTAACACCAAGTCTACCATTTGTTTCATATTTGGGAAGAGGCGGTTTTAGTATCATGTGCTGGCGATTTGAGAGTGTGGGACTCAAATTCAAACAATGTGTAAACACTTTTACATACATTCAAATGTTAAAAGAAGCCTGTTGTTAAAACATTTTGACACACCCCACACAGTTACAAATAACTCTGCAATGAGTTTATGACAATATCTTATGGGAGGGTCTCAAAAGAAAAGAAAAACTTACTTTCAACTCTTCTTCAGACAACCAGTCCTTAACATAGCAGTATGGTTCGTGTCCTCGTCTCTCAAATGTGCATTATCTACTCATCTCAAATGTGCATTATCTACTCATCTGAAGTGTGCATTATCTGCTCATCTCAAATGTGCATTATCTACTCATCTCAAATGTGCATTATGTACTCGTATGTTGATTATCTACTCATCTTAAATGTGCATTATCTACTCGTCTTAAATCCAAATTATCTACTCACATGTGCATCATCTACTCATATGTGCATTATCTACTCTTCTCAAATGGGCATTATCTACTCATCTCAAATGGGCATTATCTACTCATCTCAAATGTGCATAATATACTCATCTCAAATGGGCATTATCTGTTCATCTCAAATGGGCATTATCTACTCTTCTCAAATGGGCATTATCTGCTCATCTCAAATGTGCATTATCTACTCATCTCAAATGTGCATTATCTACTCGTATGTGCATTATCTACTCATCTCAAATGTGCATTTTCTACTCATCTCTCAAATGTGCATTACCTACCGATCTCAAATGTGCATTATTTACTGATCTCAAAAGTGCACGATCTACTCATATGTGCATTACTTACGCATGAAAATGTGCACCATCTACTCATCTCAAATGTGCATTATCTACTAATATGTGCATTATCTATTCATATGTCCATTATCTACTCATCTCAAATGGGTATTATCTACTCATTTCAAATGTGCATTATCTACTCATCTCAAATGTGCATTATCTACTCATCTCAAATGTGCATTATCTACTCATCTCAAATGTACATTATCTACTTGTATGTTGATTATCTACTCATCTCAAATGTGCATTATCTACTCATCTCTCAAATGTGCATTATCTGCTCCTCTTCAATGCGTATTATCTACTCATCTCAAATGGGCATTATCTACTCATCTCAAATTTGCACGATCTACTCACATGTGCATTATCTACTCATGACAAATGTGCATTATCTACTTATCTCAAATGTGCATTTTGTACTCATATGTATATTATCTATTGATCTCAAATAGGCATTATCTACTCATCTCAAATGTGCATTATCAACTCATCTCAAATGTGCATTATCTACTCATCTCAAATGCGCATTATTTACTCTTCTCAAATGGGCATTATTTACTCATCTCAAATGTGCTCGATCTACTCATATGTGCATTATCTACGCATGACAAATGTGCATTATCTACTCATCTCAAATGTGCATTATCTACTCATCTCTCAAATGTGCATTATCTACTCATCTCAAATGTACATTTTGTACTTATCTCAAATGTGCATTATCTACTGATATGTGGTTATCTACTCATCTCAAATGTGCATTATCTACTGATATGTGCATTATCTACTGATTTCAAGTGTGCATTATCTGTTCATTTCAAATGTGCATTATCTACTCATGTCAAATGTGCATTATCTACTCATCTCAAATGTACATTTTGTACTTATCTCAAATGTGCATTATCTACTGATATGTGGTTATCTACTCATCTCAAATGTGCATTATCTACTGATATGTGCATTATCTACTGATTTCAAGTGTGCATTATCTGTTCATTTCAAATGTGCATTATCTACTCATGTCAAATGTGCATTATCTACTCATCTCAAATGTGCATTATCTACTCTTCTCAAATGTGCATTATCTGCTCATCTCAAATGTGCATTATCTACTCATCTCAAATGTGCATTATCTACTCAAATGTGCATTATCTACTCTTCTCAAATGCGCATTATCTACTCATCTCAAATGTACATTATTTACTCATCTCAAATGTGCATTATCTACTCATATGTGCATTATCTACGCGTGACAAATATGCATTATCTGCTGATATGTGCATTATCTACTCATATGTGCATTATCTACTCATCTCAAATGTGCATTATCTACTCATCTCAAATGTGCATTACCTACTCATCTGAAATGTGCATTATCTACTCATCTGAAATGTGCATTATCTGGTCATTTCAAATGGGCATTATCTACTGATATGGGCATTATCTACTCATCTCAATGTTAGATCAGTGAGTGAAAAAATCATACTTGTTAAAAAAGTGTTTTGTTTTTATTTTCTATCCTCACAATTAACTCATTTTACTATATATTGAATAAGAATGTTAGAACAGGATTTCAAAATGTTGGATTTCAAGGAAATGCTACGGAAGCGTCCTAGTGCCACAGTCTGAATTTTTTTATCACCTAATTAGGACTTAGTATGTCCTAATTAGGACTTACTATCTCCTAATTAGGACTTAGCTATCTCCTAATTAGGAGATACTATCTCCTAATTAGGAGTTACTATCTCCTAATTAGGTGATACTATCTCCTAATTAGGAGTTACTATCTCCTAATTAGGACTTAGCTATCTCGTAATTAGGACTTAGCTATCTCCTAATTAGGAGATACTATCTCCTAATTAGGAGTTACTATCTCCTAATTAGGACTTAACTATCTCCTAATTAGGAGATAGTATCACCTAATTAGGAGATAGTATCTCCTAATTAGGAGATAGTAAGTCCTAATTAGGAGATAAAAAAAATCAGACTGTGGCACTAGGACGCTTCCGTAAAATGCTGAAGGAAAAGTTTCGAATAATTTTGCAAATATCTCCCTTACGGAGCTACTTTTCGTGTTTGCATGAAGAGTTACATTTTACAGGCATTTTTGCTAAACATGCAAAGAAAGGCTGAAGCTTTTTCTTTTGTTGACAGGATCATTTTCCATGCAAACTGTTTAGATTACAAAATTTGAATATTAAGTGCATAACTACTTCAAAGGTCAAAGGGTGCGACAGAATGCGATAGGCGTTTTTACATGTATGTCACACGAATGCTTTAATGCTGCTTCACATGCATGTCAAATGAAATTGCTTTCATTCATGCAGAGAGTTCGATTAATGATTTTAGCAACATAATTACCTACGTAACAATTCAGGGTATCACAGGAACAGGAAGGAGCCCCATCTGATAATGTGTCAAATAGATAATATAAAGATGAAGGTGAAAGTGAAACTAAATGCATACAAACCATGTGTCATGTGCCATTTGTTTTTTGAATGAAGGATTGAGGGTATACTAAAAGACTTTGCTATCAAATAGGACTCTTTGTGCCGATTTTAATAGTTGATGCACTGCTTGTATTTCTTTTCGATGCAAAAAATGCAATGTGTGTGTATGTACCAGGTGGGGTCTTTAGTGGTATTATATATGTAGCTCTGATATAGGCAAATCATGGATCTTGTTGCCAGCCTCAAGCGACAGCGCCAAGATGTGTCATTTGAGCTTTGTATTTGACCAGTCGGTCTAAAGATACCTTTTGTAACCAGAAAGAACTGGGTACTCAGTATCTCTTCCTTTAAGGAGGCCTCCAAGCTAAGGAGATATTGCGAGGTTCGGTATACCCTCGATCCTTCAGTCAAGATAAATATGGCACATGACACATGGCTTGCATACATATATTTTCACTTCATCTTCATATTATCTATTTGACATATTATCAATGGAGTCACCACCTGTTCCTGTGATTCCCTGAACTGTTAAATGGGTAACTATGTTGCCAAAATCATTAATCGAACTCACTGCATGAATGAAAGCAATTTCACGTGGCATGCGTGTGAAACATTATGAAAGCATTCGTGTTGCATATGTGTATAAAAATGCCTACCGCATCCGGTCGCACCCTTTGACCTTTGCATTAACTATGCACCTAATATGCACATTTTGTGATCTAAACAGTTTGCCAGAAACATAATGCAGTCAAAATATTCAGCCGTGCTTCGCATTTATTATGAAAATATGCCTGTAAAATGTAACTCTTCACACAAGAACTAAAAGTAGCTCCGTAAGGGAGATATTTGCCAAAATATGAAACCTTTCCTTCAGTATTTCCTTGAAATCCAACATTTTGAAATCCTGTTGTAACATTATAATTCAATATATTGCAAAATGAGTAAATAGTATGGATAGAGAATGATAAATAAAACACTTTTTTAAAAAGTTTGAATTTTCCACTCATTGACCTTTATGACCTAATTGGGCATTTTCGATCAGATTCCTATTCATCACGAAAAACTACCCCCATCATATGTGGTTTGCTTGTTTTTTACTAAAAAATGCCTCATGAATTCACATTTCTGAGAAATTTGAGTAGTCTATTTCCTGATTGTGTATATTGAAGCTCATGATGTCAATCACTGGATTGTCTGGACAATATTAGATTATTTACAGACTGCAGCGACATAGCTGGAATATTGCTTAGTGCGGCGTTAAAAGGGGTTATTAGTCATAAACTTGGATTAAACGACCTTGTGTGTTAACTGTTTTGTATCACGCTGAGATTGACATCCAGTGATCGAGGGGAAAAAATGTCAGCACCTTGAGCATGTACTAGATACATGGATATGTGCGCTATATCCTATAACAACGTTACACCTGTACCAACTATTCGGAGACAATTGCATTACACTTTATACTCATTTATTTTTCTCTCTTTTCACAAATCAGCATATATAACGAAGGCATAATGCTGTCACTTTGGCAGCATAAAATATTTTTAAACAGAAATTTCTCATTATTAAATTACTTCTTCATTTCTTTTCAAAATGGCCAGTTCTCCTCGTTTCTCGGTTATATTTAGATTTTGATTCTTTTCCTTATTTCAGATTAACTAATAACTCGAAATTATTTTCTGATTCTTTCAATTATTTCCTCAAACGTCACAGAAGCAGCACACAGGATGCAGCAGTGGGAATTATTTTCACAACATTCGGAGGTTCATCTGCTTGCTGTATTACATGACCTGACTCAGTCAGACCTCTTCTCTGTGAAAAAGGGAAATCCTCCGAAGGGGACAATCGTTTTAGTGGACACGCGAAAATCCATCTCGGATAATTGTTTTGAGTTGTTGTTTTCTATTAATGTACCAATGCCCGGACCCATATATCAGTATTGGGTGTAATAAACACGATAAAGGATCGAAGAAGAAGCAATACATGCGAATAAAATCTAAGTAAACCCCGAGGAACGAAGAATTGGTTCAATCCGAAAACGACTGTGGGTGAAATGGAGTTCAGTCTTAACGTTTCCGCAAAGCAAATTACGAAATTAGTTATAGAGCCAATCGTATTTACAGATCTTCTATGTCTCCTTCATGTTGGTAATGATTGACATTTTTTAGTCACCGAGGAACATTACTTCAGATGTGTTTGATTGCAACACCAGCACATTTTGCACATATTTCAAAGAGCATAACTGAGCATTCGGTGTAAATTTAACATACTTTTGTAGCCAAATGATCGGAAAAGAAAAAGAAACAAGAACCAATGAAGCAAAACAGTGAAGTTTCAATTCCGCTGACCATGAAAGAAAGATGAAGTAAATAGGAAAGTCAGCAACGTGTATGACCACCGTTAGCAGCAACACAAGCTGTGCAATTTCTCCTCATTGAACTGATAAGTCTCTGAATAATGTTTTGAGGCTATTCATTCCACTCTTGTTGCAAGGCATTCTCAAGTTCCTCAAGGTTGTTGATCTGTGGGCGACGTGAGATGCGCTGGCCGGTGTAATCCCACAAGTGTTCAATGGGAGACAAATCTGGTGACAATGCAGGCCATGGAAGTAGAGGAATGTTGTTGTTTGCAACACGTGCAGTGTGCGCTCGAGCATTGTCCCGCTGGAATGTGTGCAGATCTTGATGTTGGTTATAGAAGGCAACGACGTTGTTCTGAAGAATGGTGTCACGGTAGTAAAGGGCATTCACTCTGCCACGACAAACTACCAGAGCGGTTTTGTGATAACTGATCCACCCCAGCCCCCTTACTCCCCCAACCATAATGCTGTCTCCACCCCACCGATCTGTTTGCATAACACAGTCCTGATGGTAACGTTCTCCCCGTCGACGCCATACCCGTAGACGCCCGTCAGCATTTCGCAAGTGTTAACGTGACTCGTCGGAGAACATAACACCATGCCAACGTCGTAACAACCTCAAATGATGCTGTTTGGCCCATCGTCGGCGTTTACGGCGATATCTATCAGTCAGGATGCGTCCAACATAAGGGCGTCGACACCTTAATCCTGCCGCACGGAGACGGCGTCGGACGGTGGAAGCACTGATAAAACCACGTCGGCCTTGGACAGCGTTGGCGGTTCTGGCTGCTGGCAACGTACGATCCCGAATATGGCGCCGAACAATGTCTCAATCTTGGCGAGGGGTGGTAACACGTGCCTGGCCAGGACGTTGGCGGTCCCTGGTGGTTCCTTTTTTGTTGGTACCTGTTGGCAAGTCTTATGATGGTGGAATGATGGCAACCAAATCGTCTGGCAATAATCCTGCTTGATGTGCCAACCTGCAACATGCCCAACGCCCGTTCTCGTTCCTCTGGTGACAATCTTGGCATTGCAATATAAACTTTACTTGTGGAGGTACAGCTAAAATGAGAACGGTTTTTTGCCGACGGTCATTTATACCCCTAATCAGCATGTTTTACGTATGCAATTTGTGCTTTTCGTGTGTGTTGTGCATGAATGTTGTTGTTGTCATGTGATGTGTTCCATGATGTGTTCAGGCAATCCGTTCTTTACTGTACAGCCTTATTTATTGTTTTTTTGAGTGTTATTAACAACATTTCCAACGTTCATATGTATGTATGTAATAATGTATGTATATATATATATATATGGAAGAAAATGGTCATTTCTGTGTCCTTTAGGTACTTCCACAAGAGGTCAGCGATCTATGGAAATTGGTGTGGCAGCCAAGTGGCCACCACACGACATGAGACTGCAACTACTGTCGCACATCCTGCTGTCCCCGTGTCCAGCAACAAAGGAGATGCTAGTGCTTGCAAAAGTCTTAGTAGGTGCAGTAAAAATCATGATTATGTTGCCAAGGGTTGTGAAAATCTGAGAGTGCCAAGTGAGACCAACAACAAAGGGGTTGGCAGTGTTAGAATGAGTTCTAGCAGGTTTGGTAAAAAACATGGTAATGTAGCTAAGGGTTGTGAAAGAGGGAGAGTGTTAAGTAATTCCAGGTCTAAGAGTTTCACAGCAGTACCCAAGTCTCCCATATCTAGCAACAGAAAAGATGGTCGTGCTAAAACGAGTATGTGTAATATGTGTAATAAAAGGCAGGGTAATATAGCCCAGAGTTTGGAAAGAGGGAGACTCTTAAATGATTCCCCGTCTATGTCTTTCAAAAGAATAGTTACCCCCGGGTCTAACAGCCGAGATGATGGTCGTGCCGGAACGAGAGCTAGTTTGTGTATTAAAAACAATGGTTCTGTAACCAAGAGTTGCAAAAAAATGAGACGCAAAAAACAATTCAAGAAAGGAAGCCCGTCAAAACGACAACGTCATTTGGGAAGTAATGTATCCAGAGAGTTTAATGATAAAATATTGCAACGTCCTACTCAGAATACGGATGTCCCAAACCTCAAGAGGAGACAGACTTTTGTCAGCGGAAATCCATCGCGAGACACTAAATACAACCATGACATTCAAAGAGGACTCCAGGAACCTAAATTGAGATCACAACCACCACCAGTCAAAGAACAGAGAAGGCCTTCCAAAATACCGTCATCAGAGAGCCCTGGTGAGTGTTAATCATTACTTTGTTGTTGTGTGAACCATAGTGCCCAAAATACAATGTTATATGAAGGTGTATGTACTCCTTTTTATCGTATTTCATTTAAGTTGTTTCTGCTGAGCTGTAGATTGGTTCGACATGTCGTGATGTCATCATCTCTTTAACGCACCTAAGAGATTCGTGAACGGAATGAAGATTTCAAAGGCGGTAAAGCTGTATTGTGTTGAATTCGGTTGGTTGTAATGTGTTGATTTTGGTGTTGTCCAGTTGTATGGTATGTGTGAATGAGGAACCTAGCTTATTATTATATTGAAATCAAACTGAACTTAATATTGTTCAGTGGTATTATACGCAAGTTTGTTTCACATGTTTGATAATCCCTTCTCTTATGCAAATGAATTTATTAAAAAAACGGACGGTTCGGGGCATGCTTCTCTCAGGGTGAGGGAAGGTAATTTATAAAGAGTTTCTGATTGAATCAGATATTTCTTTTTCGTCCAAACAGAATCACAAGTAACATATTTTATGTTTGTGTGTTTGTGTGTGTGTGTGTGTGTGTGTGTGTTTGTGCATGTGTGTCCGTGTGTTTTCATACACTTATATGCATAACCATATGTATAACATCTAAACTGGTAGTTATTAAACATTATAACTGTATTGGTTGGAACACTTGTGGTATGTCAAGAACGAAAATTCGTTCACACTTCAAAATGAACATTTACTTTTTTATGTTTTTATGCCATAATATGCAGCTTCAAAACATTGAATGAGATAAATGCTGTATGATGAAATGGATCAGTGAATGACATAAATGACGCATTATTGACACATGTAATTGTAGGAAATATGCAATCACTATGTTAGGTAACTAATGACCAGACACGTCAACTTGGAACCTGTAGATATATTCCTAATATGTAAAGTTTGGGCATGTCTAAGGATCTGAAAGAAGTGTATAAGAAATCTTAAGGAGTTTTTTAAATTTTAGATCTATTTGGAAAACAACAGTTTACTAAAGCAGAACTTGAGCCAACTTCAAAAGATTGGTCATTCCAAACTAGACATTCGCAAGGAGAGGTCACCTATGCTGCAATAAACAGTATGTGATATAAAAAGGAGCATACCACTTTAGTGATAAGAACTTCCTGCTTATTGCAAAGAGCGGCGTTTCGATATACATGATTCGTGATAGAGAAGCTGATTTTATAAAGGTATTGAAAGACCATATGCTATTTCTTTATGAGTCAGGTAAAGTTGCAATGATATATCGCATAAATGGATAACATTGAAATACGGCATGTTCCTGCAGTTCTAATGTATAAATTTGTCGCACAGAGGAGTAAATAGATTGTTGTTGTTTTACGCCACATTCATCAATATAACATCAATACGATCGCAGTCTGTTTATAATCGAGTCTGTAGAAGACAATCGTGACAGGAAGGCCGATCACATCAACAAGAAGGAAGTAAGGTTCTGTCAACTAATACGGTAGTTTATATCACCTGATAGGAAGGCAGTTTAAGTCATTTTACAGAAAGGTAGCTTTTGTCATTTGACTGGAAGGTAGTTTATGTCATCTAATAGGAGGGGCGGTGGGGTAGCCTAGTGGTTAAAGCGTTGGCTCGTCACACCGAAGACCCGGGTTCGATTCCCCACATGGGCACAATGTGTTAAGCCCATTTCTGGTGTCCCCCGCCGTGATATTGCTGGAATATTGC